AGAGATATAATTCCTGTCCCTGGAATGACTCTGAATGGGACCCAATGGCCTTACCTGGTAGGGGCCACAGACAATGCTCTCTCTGGTGTTCAAGGCTGATGACAAAAGATAATGAATTTGTGACTCAAAAATGAGTGGACAAGAATGTGGGCGAGGGACAGGACTTTTCAGGTTGTGTGATAATATACCAAGTTGTTAACTTGAGAAAAGGGTGACTTTTCCTAATCTGTCCAAAGAGCTGTGGGCACAGATCTGTGTTCAAGGACTTCCTGGGTACTGCTCTTCCGTGAGACCTCAGAGACAGACTTAAACTTTGTGAGGCTCAGCTTTGTCATGTGTAAAATGGGCATGAACACTGTTCCCCTTGGCCTAGAATTGTGAGCATTTAGCGAGGTGAACGTGTAACACCTTTAGCGCGGAGCTTACACGGAGAACCTGCTATTATTATCATTGGTACCACACTGTAAGTCTTCCCTTCCTCTGATCCCAGCACTGAAGCGTCTATCAGGGTGAAATGATTCCATTCCCCTCCTCCTTCAATCCACCTGGCCTTCCTTTTCCGAGCCCCCTTTCCATGACCCCGCAACTCCTACTACATTCGCCCCTGCCCCACCCCTTCCTTTCGCCCCGCCCATGAGCCCTGGCCCCACACAGCCCTCCCTCAGCGAGGCAGGAAGCTCATGGTATAGTATGGTGGGATCCTAGTTAAGCCCACGTGCTTGGGGGATACGTCGATGTCCTCAGGCGACTGCAGGGACTTGAAGCGGAAGTTCTGCATGATGGTGATTAGGAAGAGAAAGAGCTCCATTCAAGCCAGGCCTTCTCCTTCCTGAAGAGGAGAGGTGGGAGGGGAAGAAGTGAAGCCCACTCTCACTGCCTCGTCACCCCACTACTGACCTCCAGCTGCATTCTCCCCGGGAGACTTTCAGAGGAGGATCTAAACCTCTCTGAGCCTGTTTCCTTTGTACATGACATGGGGTGACCTATGGCAGGCTGTAGCCATGGAGGGTGTAGATGGCCTTTGCTGCCAAATGCACTCTCAGATGTGGTTGTCGTGCTGTCAGATATCTTCTTTCTAGAGATCTGAAAAATTTGCAGTATCACCTTGGACAAATCTCTCATTTACTATGGACCTTGATTTTCCCCATACCTTCCCTTTTGCCTGGGTGCAGGTACTTGGTGCTTGGTAGTTATGGGAGCATCAGCTGGTTGGCTCAAGGGTAGATTCTAAGAGAAGTGTCCAGGCTGGAGAAAGATACGAGGCTACAGCTCAGTGAGGGGACGAGGGAGGCCCCTGTTGGTGTGAGCAGTGGCCTGCATCTCTTACCAATGGAGAAGGGCACAAAAGCGTCACTCTTCTTGAACTGCCCCTTCTCATCCATGAAGTGCTGGGGAGCAAAATCTCGGGGTTTGGAGAAGAACTTGGAGTCTGCGAGCACAGAGCCCAGCATAGGGAACACTTCGTTGCCCTGGTAGGGAGAAGGAAGGTGTATTTGTTAAGGCAGGTTGAAGGATTGGTGTGCTGAAAGTATATAGGGGAAAAAGGGGGGAGTTTGGGTGCCCGAGGAGAAGAGAAACGGGAGGGATGGGAGCTGGGGTCATCTCAGGGAGGGGCTTTGGGGACAATAAGGTTCATGTCCCTAAGACAGGAAGTTTGGGGACATGGGGTTGATTCCCCTGAAGCAAAAAGTCTGGGGGAGACATGGGATTCAGGAGCCTCTGAGTGGGAATGTTGAAAGGACATGATGGTTGGGGAAGACTTTGATGGAGGGACTGGAACAGGGGTTAGAGAACTACTCATGAGGATGGGGTGCTGGGACCATAAGGAGTGGGTTAGAGGTCCTTCTATGTTGCTCCATAAATTAATAAAAACGTGTTTGCAGACAGGATTTGTCTTAGGAGTTTTTCAAAGCTTTGCCCTGAAGGAATATGTGAACGTGTTGGTTTGCATTTCAAATGCTGTTACACTCAGAAGGGCGTCTCTGAAAGACAGTAGCGGCTGTATCCCACAAGGCGTCACGTTTCTCAGACCTAAAGGTTTGGATTTGCTTTGTAAAGCAAAGTAAATCTGTTAAAAACTACAGGATGAGAGCTGACAATGGAGTGCCCCCCGGAACAGACAGCTGCCCAAATGGCTACAGGGAAAGCTCTTGTTTGAACACTCCACATTACCTGTCTCCATTCACAATAACCTAATAAATATGGAGCCAACATATCTTTGTTTAACCCCTCTGTTAAGTGATAAATTTACCTTACAACTTAGAAGTTAACCTTTGAAAGATTTTATAACCATTTGTTCACATAGATAGAATTAGTTAAAGGCTCTGTGGAAACATTTTGAAAATCTGTTAACCTGAGAGGAGCTACCTGTTGTTATGTAAATCCGTTACCCCTGGCAATTAATCACTATTCCCTAGAAGTTACCATGTAAGACCTCATTCAGGGCTTTTTGAGACCCACGGAGAAGGTCTAGGCCCCCTGAGATCTTGCTTTGCCTATTATCTTTATAAACTTATAAAACTATATCTTTGTCTCTGTGTATTCTTTTATTTTCATTTTTCTCTATTATTTTCTTATCCATTGCAACTCTACCAAAGGGACCCGGTTTTTTGGGGGAACGTTGTCCACGTTCCCGGCACCTCTAGGCTGGGCAATACCTTTGGGAGGAAGAAGTCCTGAAACTTGGTGAACCGGTGGGCCAGGCCCATTGGGCTTAGGTCTCCAAATCTTTCGATCTCGTGGATCACTGCTTTTGTGTAGGACATTTTGGCCCGGTCCTCAAACCTGGGATGCCGGTTCTTGCCAATCACCTGGTAAATCTCCTCATGGACCTTGGCTGGAGGAGGAGGAGGAATGTGCTTAAGTGTCCAGGGTTCTCAGAGCAAGGAAGTATAGTCCAAATAGATAAAATGTGATGGATTACATGGATCTATGTATGACATGAATGTAGAGCATTCAAAATAGACATTGGCCATATGCATTTTGGAGCAGGGTCCTGTTAACCTGGTCATGCCAAAATCATGGGGGACATGCAAATTAGAAATCTTAGGTGATGATCTGGAGGAGCAGGCAGTGATCACACAGAGAACTTAGCACTAGAGTGGTTTACCAGTTATTTCAGACATTTTCAGTATTCTGGCAGCTAGTGAGACTCAGCTGATGACTATCATCTGAATATTGATTGCCCTGTCTCTGGAGAGCAAGGTGTGTCTGAGGGCCCAGGGATCTGGGAGGGGTGGGGACATGGCACGAGGCACAGAGCAGTTTTGGGGGTTTGTGGTCCTCTACTTCCCTCCCCCTCTAGCCTTACCCTCTACATCTGGGTGTTTCATGAGCAGCAAGATGCCACAGCGTAGGGTCATGCTGAAAGTCTCGGTGCCTGCGAGGAAGAGGTTAAGCGTGGTCAGCACCAGGTTCTTCATGCAGAATGCCATGTTTGGGTTCTTCTGCTCCTGCAGGGGGAGAGAGCTTTAGGCTGAGCTTAGTCCCCATGCCCTTGGTACTCTTCTGGGGCTTTTCCTATGGACCTACCTCTCTTAGATCCAGATCAAGGGTGGGAAAGAGACGCTACATACTCCAGGCTCTCTCCAGTTTTCAGCCTTTGCCCCTGCTGCTGGCTCTGCTCAAAATGCTCATGTTCTTTGCCTGGCTATCTGACCTTTAATTATCAGTTTAGTTGTCACTTTTCTTTTTTTTAACAGAGACAAAGTCTCACTATGTTTCCCAGGCTAGATTTAAACTCCTGGGCTCAAGCGATGCCTCCTGTACCCCGCTAGGTTGTCACTTTTTACATGGTAGCAATATTTAGAAAGAGAGGGATAGAGAGAGAATGAGAAAGGACAGAGACAGCAAGATTGAGTGAGTGAGAGAGAGTTAAAAAGAGATAGATTCTCTGACATGCACACACAGAGTTTCCAGCAACAGCATCCTATTCCTTCCCTAAACCTTGGAGCTTACTAGGGAGGAATCCCTTCCCTTGATCCTTTAACCCTGAACTTCAGACTCCATAAAGCCCTCCCACCTTTCTTCACAGATGGGAGACTGACATGTAGAAGGAGGTAGGGTTCCTCCAATGTCACACAGCAAAGCCAGGTCACCTGTCTCCACAGGTGTATCTGATAACCAGGGTATGAAAGTTGAGAGAGTATGGTGGCTAAAAGCACCAGGCTTAGTGTCAGAGAGACCAGGGTCTCAGCTAAGGTTTGTGGCTTCCTCACTGTGTGACCTCAAATAAGCCACTTACACTCTCTCAGCCCGTTACCTCATTTGTAAAATTGGGACATGATAGAACCTCTTTGAAGAGCTTTTGTGAGTGAGAAACAGGTGAATATCTTAAAGCACTTAATGCAGTGCCTGGTGCATAGTAGTGCCTTAGAAGCACTTGCTACTGTGATTCACATGCACAACTTCTGCCCATGGGCAAGGGCTCAGAAGATGGAACAACGATGGTTACTATAACTGTGGGGATTGTGAAGATTGTTATGATGGGGCTCATTTGGATGGGTCTCTGTTGTTTCTCCTTCTCCTCAGTCTTATTTCCCACTGCTGGACTTTGGACCTCCCCACACTGGCTGCTGGGGAGTACCTCCTGCATGCGGATGAGAAAGGAGTCGATGAAGTCCCGTGGGTAGTTGGGATCCAGTGTGTGCTGGTTGTGCACCACCTTCTTGGCTATGAAGTCATCCAGCCCCTGCAGCTCCCTAAAGGCCTGCTGCTGTGGTCCTGGCAGGTGTTTCATCACGGAATAGAACATCTCATAGAGCTAGGGGTGGGGAGAGAGGAAGGGAAAGGAAAGACAGCAGTCAGTGTGTAGGACGTGATGGAAATGGAACCTGTCTCAGGGCAATGAAGGCACTGGTTTAAAGGCAGCTGTCCAGATTTCTAAGAACGTAGGTGGGTCTGGATGGTAACATATATATAAGTCTTCATGTGCGTTATGTGTCATAGCCACTGTCTCACCTAACTCTCACTGTTAGGCTAGATGATTGGGTCACATGTCTAGGTTTTAGATAGTCATGTGAGGCTGGATTGGGGCACACATCTAGGTGTTCACATATTCAAATGAGGTTGAATTCGAAGGTGTATACCTCCTGAGGTAGGACTGGTATGGTGGAGAGGTTACCTGCCTAGGTGTTTAGGCATTCAGGGGGGCTTGGTTAGAAACAGGTATCCAGATAATTATTGGATCTACATTGGTGGCTTTTGTAAAGGAGTTCAGGTATTAAAGTGGGGTTGGTGTTCAGGTGTTCAAGTGGGAGGGGATACCTGTTCAGGTGTTTAAGTATTCACTTCCGTAAGGTGTTTGGGCAGGCACAGTGGGAGACACTTATTTGGGTGTTCGGGAAACAATCTGTCCAGATATTTAAGTGTTTAGGGGTGTTGGTTATGGTACCTGTCCAGCTGTTCAGGTACTTAGGTGGGTCAAGTAGAGGGCACTTGTCTAGATGTTCCAGTGGGCTGATTTTGGAAACCCGTGTAGACATGAAATGATTTTAGTTTTCTGGATTTGGTAGCGCTAGGTGTTCAGGTATTCACGAGGTTGGTTAAGGTGGTGACTTTTCCATGCATTACGATTTTCAGAAGGACTGAATAGAGAGCATCTGTTGTTATATAGTAAGATAGCCTGGGACAAGAATACCTGCCCAGGTGAGAGACCAAGTTTAAGGTATGTATTATGCTTGCAGACTTTGTTTTTTGGGGGGAACATGTGTTGATATATTCAGGTGTTCTTGCAGACTGAGTAGTGGGCACCCATGCTGGGCTGTGATGCAACTGTTCAGTTCTGAAGATTGGGGGCTGATCTTGAGGGGACACTGTCAGGACAGTTTACCTGTCCTGTGGATGTAGCTGTGAACGCAAGGCTGCCCTTCATCATACGCAGCAGTGACAGCAGCTCTTTGTTCTCATAGTCAAAGCGGTCCCCAAAGACAACGGAGCTGATGACATTGGAGACTGTTCGGCTCAGGAAGAAGGTGGGATCGATGATGGCGCCTGCGGGGTGGGGCGGGTTGAGGGAGAGATGGGAATTGGAGGGAGAGAGTGAACTTGGTGGGCTGCTGCCAGTCTGAGAAGGGAACTGTTGTGATGGGCCAAGTTCCCAGCTCCACAATCCAGAGCAGGAAACACAGAAGCCTTTCCCCAACCAAGTCCCCATGCCCGGCCAGAACGTGAGGTTCCTGGCATTTTCCTTCTCGTCCCTTAGCACTCCGGGGTCCCTTCTGCTCACCGCGTGTGCCCCTAAATTTCTCAGTGAGGAAGCCCACCTCCTCCTGTATGCACTCCTCGATGCCTCGCTTGCCCATGCTGAAGTCCCGCAGTGTGGTCATGCAGTAGTGCTGCAGCTGCTTGGTGCGCTGGCCATTGCTGAATGCCATGTCTGGGAGGTGAGTGCAGGGGTGCAGGAGGTCAGAGAGCGGCCGGGGCAGGCCCCAGACCAGTTCCAACAGTTCCAAGGGGCTTCCAAGGGCAGGGTGGCTGTGGGGTTGTGCAGGGAGACAGGGAGCGAGGGAAGAAAATCAGAAGGCAGAGGCAGAGGCAAGACAGATGCACAGACAGGGACGGGGACACTCAATGGAGGAGGACAGGAAGGAGGGAGAGGGATAGAAAGAGGGTGGAGGACGGAGGGAGAGGAGGTGAGATATGTGGAGATCTGGAAAGTGGAAGGAAAAATGGTGAAGGATTCTAAAAGTGAGCTGGAGAAGAGAGATAACTAGGGAGAAACAGAGAGGGGCTGGAAAGAGGAGAGATCGTTATCAGGAGGTGGAGGCAGGGGGATTTTGAAGCAGGAATCAAGTGAGATTATAAGACAGAAGAAGGAAAAAGGGAGGGCAGGAGGAGAGAGAGAAACGTGGAGAAGCACAGAAGCTGAGAATGACAAAAAGACAAATGGAGATAGAGGACGAGGGTTTGAAAACAGAAATCCCCAAAGGTTGTAGGAGATGGAGGCTTAGGGGAAGGAAGAGACATCTGTGAGAGGACAGGGAGACAGGGGCAGAGAGAGGCAGGGAGAAATCGGGACATGGATACTGGGACAGGTCAGTGACAGAGACAATGATCATTTATGGAGAGACAGCAGACTAAGTTCTTTGCCACAGGCTCTAGTGGGCAGTTGAGTGGGAAAACTGAGGCCATGCAGTCTGCCTGATCACATTCCTCCGCCCAGGGTCCCCCTCACCATAGCCTTTGAAGAGCCAGTCGAAGGTGGCCTGCTCACCTCGCCCGCTCAATTCCTCAGCCTGGTCCACCAGGGCCTCCTTTATGGCATCATATCCTGTAAGTTCTTACAGGAAAGAAAGCTGGAACTGGATAAATAAATAAATGCACGGGAGGCAGAGGGTGGTATGGATAGAATGCATATAGAGTACTCTGGAATGGGATACTAATTTTATTTTATATACACCACTTCAATTCTCTAGATATATGTATGTACATGTACACAGAAGCTCACACTTGTACATGAATATATCCATAGAAAAGGAGTTTCCATGTAGCAAGAAATATTTAGAAATTACCAGATGTATGGATTGATGAGAGTCTTATTCTGATGCATTAAAATTTAATGGAAATTTAATGAAATTGTTTTCATTGATTGATGAATAGCAGAAAGAGTTTATGACTGGAACGACGGATGGCTGGTTGGATAGATGAAAGAGTTAATGGATGGGTGAAGGGTTAATGGATAGATGATTTGAGATACATGAATAATGGCTGGAAGGATGGATGGACAGAAAGATTATAGATGTATGAATGATGGAAGGGTTAATGAATGGATGGATGGATAAATAGAAAGTTGATTGATAGATGTATAGATAATAGAGCAAAAGCTGTTTGTATAGAAAGAATAATAAATGGACTTTTAATGAATTCATGGATCAATGGACATAAGGAAGGGAAGGTACAGGGATAGATAGACGGAAGGATGGAAAGAATGGGGTGAGCCTGCTTGGAACTGAAGGATGTGGGCAGTTAGAAATGGATGTATTGGAGAAAGGGATCTATCTAAATGGAGGAGGCAGAGATCTATGGGTTAGGCATGTGTATGTGTGTAAGAAGACGAGAGGTAAGGTCGGATATGAGGGCTCCAGCGGATACATAGAGTATCACTCAGTAATCCATTAAAAGTATGAATAGAAATGACTCAGGAAACACTCTAGAGTCATATGGTGTGGGTTAAATATAAAGTGGTCCTACCACTTACTGTGTGACATAACCTAACCTTTCTTATCCACCGCTTTTTCATTTACAAAATCAGTACAATATTAAAAGCCCTCTGAAAGGAGTTGATGCAATAATTCATGTAAAGTCATTATCAAAGAACTTGGAACATGAGGAGTCCATTATGAACAGCTTCTGTTTTTCTTGTTGTTGTTTCTACCTACCATGACCTTGGACGTTTTAGTCTACTGAAGCCAAGTTTCCACAGCCACTGAACTCATCTGCTTGGTCTACCAGGGCTTCCTTCACTGCTTCACGTCCACATAAAACAACTATTGGCCGGGGTCCCATATACACAGTGAACATGGGGCCGTGTTTCTCGCTGAGCTGGGAGTGAAAGAAGACACAAGAGGAGGATGTTAATTGGCATACCAAGTGTAGAGCAAAGAGGATAACGATTTTATAGGGATACAGACGTGGGAAGAATAATGAATGCAGTTAAACCCTGGGTTTGGAAGGACTACTGGGAAAAAGGTATAGAAATCTTTGCTCCTGTGATCTTGGGCAAGAATCTGCACCTTCCCATAAGACTTAGTTCCCTCACATATAAAATAATGAACCTGGATTAGAAGAATTCCAAGATCCATCCTTCTGTCTCTTAAATGCTAAGTTTCTAGAATCTTAAGATTTCATAATGGTAAGTTACATATTTCTAAGACAACGTGAGTACAAGAGTCCTTGTGTATAAAAATATGATGCACTGCGATTCCAAAGTTTTGAGATTTTGAAAGTCTTATTTCGATGCCCTAGGAACTTGTGTTTCCAAAATTTTAGGACTCTGGAATTCCAGAATTCTTAGGTTTGGAAAGTCTGTGTTTCCAAGAGTCTATTTTCAAGAAGTTATAAGGTTCTGTGTGTATCGGGCTATAGCATTAGTTGCTTCTCGCCCTGTGTGAGGGGACTCACCTTCAGGAAAGACTGAAAGGTGGCATCAGTGCGAACTTGTGGCAGGTTCCCCAGGAAAGGTATTGGTGTGGGGCCTGGGGGCAGCTTTCCTCCCTTGTTGGTTCGTTTCCAAGCAATGAGGATGATGAGGCAGGACAAGCAGAGTCCCAGAAAGACGGTGAAACTGGCTCCCAGCTCCATGGTGGTGCCAGGCCAAGAAGTTGTATCCTGGGCACCAGATCCTGCCTAAATAGGTTCTGGGAAATCAACTTATACAGAAATCTGAACACCCTCGGATTCAAATTTTCCGGGCACAGACAGCATCAAGGAAGAGATTGCCTTTTCTGGGAGGTGATTATATAACGTATAATCTCCTGGCTGAATAAAGGTAAATTGAATTTGCACAGGGAAATCCACTGGGGCCATTCCCCTTTCTTTGTATTTCCAGTCTCCCAGTTCTTCTCCCTCAGCTTAATTTATGATTCAGCATTTCTTGGTGGGGTGCAAGAGGCAGTTGAATATCTTTTTAGGCTATTGAGTTTAGGGTTCAGACAATCTGGGCATAAGTTTCAGCTCCATCTTTTCTTCACTGGGCAAGTCACTTAACCTCTCGGCCTGTTTCCCGATCTATCAGATAGAGTGACCATCTTTGTTTAGAAAGTCTTCATAGACAACAGGGAAGACATTTTGTTGATCATTTAATTAGAAATATCCTGATTAATCAGTTTTTTAAATTTTAAATTTTTTAATTGACACATAATAACTGTACATATTTATGGGTACAGTATAAATTTTTTCTTTCTTTTTTTTTTCTTGAGACAAGGTCTCACTCTATGGCTGTGCTAGGGTGCAGTGGCGTCGTTATAGCTCACTGCAACCTCTAACTCCTAGGCTCAAGCAATCCTCCTGCCTCAGCCTCCTGAGTACCTGGGACAACAGGTGCATGCCATCACTCCTCACTAATCTTTCTATTTTTTTTGTAGACATGGGGTCTCACTCTTGCTCAGTCTGGTCTAAAATGCCTGGCCTCTCAAAGTATTAGAATTACAGGCGTTAGCCACCTAGCCTAGCCACTGTATGATGTCTTGATACATGTATACAATGTGTAACAATCAAATTAGGGTAATTAGCATATTCATCACATGAGACATTTATCATTTCTTTGTGGTGAGAACATTCAAAATCCTCTCTTGTAGCTATGTCTTAGATCTGCTGCTAGGATGTCTTTCTCGGGGTAGTGACCCAAGTTTAGGCTGCCTCCTTTGACTCTCTCAGCTTCTGCCTCCCCTCCCATTCTGCTCCCCCCAACACTGCCTCTTCCTTATACCCATTCAGGAGTCATCTCTTAACTACCTGTGGTGGCATGTGTGCGGTGGTGGTGGTGGTTTGTCAGTCTGGTCTTCATATTGAGACAGGAAGGGAGAGAGAAAGTATCCTTACCCAGGTGAGGGCGGCAGTGATCTGATCTCTCCACCTAATCCAGGAAGAATGGAGCTTGGGGAGGCATCTATGAGGCCAGGTTGATGGATTGAGGACAAAGAAGAGGGCTAAGAAGGGTGAGAAGGGAGGAAATGTTCCTTCCTGGTCTCTTCCTTATCCATCACCCTGCCCCTCTGGAATTACAGCAATTACATAATCATCAAAAAAAAATTACACAATCACCTCCACCTCACTCTTCCCCACAGGCAGAGAGCCAGAAGGGGAGGTATTTGGGCAAACAGCTTAAGCTTTATAAACACCTTTGAAGAACACTTGAGAGGGGAGGTCTGGCCCCATCCTTCCAGAGCCTTCCAGGTAGCTAGTTAGAAGCTGAGGAATGCCTTCCTTCTGTTCACCCAACAATGGAGGAAACAAGCAGGGCGACCTTGTACACGAATGTTCATAGCAGCCTTGTTCACAATAACCAGCAGGTGAAAGAAGCCAATTGTTCACCAACAGGTGAATGAATACATAGAATATTCCATCCAATGGAATATTATCCAACCATAAAATGGAGTGAAATACACCTGCTACAATGTGGATGAACCTTGAACACACTGTGCTAAGTGAAAGAAGCCAGACACAAAGATCACGTGATTCCATTTATATTTCATATATTCCATTTATAGTAGAGACAAAAGCATACTAGTGGTTGCCAGAGGCTAGAGGGAAGGGAGAGGAATGGTTACAGGGTTTCCTTCTGGGATGATAAAGTGTCTTGGAACTAAACGGTGGTTATGGTTACCCAGTATCATGAATAGCTACCTGTGCTGTCTCGCTTTTGCACACTTTAAAATGGTTAATGATTATTTTATGTTATGTGAATTTTGCCTACAAAGAAAAAAAACCATACCAGCTCAAATATCCATTTGGCTCCAAAATAGAGAACTTTATTTTGATCTTATTGATTCAGAGGTAACAGAGATATTTTAGAATTACACAGCACAGAGGTTGAGGGCTAGACTGGGCCTTTCAACTCAACAAAGCAAAGAAGGGTCGGGGTGAAGGGTGTGTATGGGGATGAGGGAGTGAAGCAAAGTACCTGGTTCTGCTGCTGCTGTCTTGGGTAACTCTGGGTCTAAATATTTTCCTCACTTGGGCCTCAGTTTCTCTAATTGCTAATTAGGGTGGTTACACTAAGTTATGGAAGGTATTTCTAGTCCCGGAAATCCTAAGGTTTTATCCTTGGTCAACTGTAAAGGCCATGTGGGGATGAATGGAGACTACAGCAGGCTCGATGGAGGAGAGACCAGAGAAAAGACTTCCCACAGCGGAGAGTCAGCAGGGAGCACCTCAGAGGGGCTCTGCAGATTCATTCCGTGCAGAGGCTGCAGCTGAATGGAAGGAGCCTGAGGGAGTCTGCATCCTTCTCCCCCTCTCCACAGAGGCAGGAAGCAGAGCTAGAACACGGGGGCAGGGGCGGGTACAGAGGGGAGTAGGATCTTCCCCAACCCTTTCACCTGCGCCATGAGATTGATGTCTCTGGAGCTCTGGAGCAGCCCAAGGAGAAGTTCTGTGGCATCTCAAGAAGAGGAAGAGCTCAGAGGAGGCCAAAATGTTTTCCAGGAATGGCAGAGGTGGCCCTGGGAGTGAGGCGACCCCAGGCCCAAAGTAGCAAGAGGACAATGGGGACAATGTGAAATGAGAAGGCTGAGGACACCATACCCCTAATATCACGCACCTTCCATCCTGCTGTCCCTCTTAAAGGGCGGGTTGTTCTGTTTGTTGTTTCATTTCTGTGGTTGGAGGGGGAAGGTGTACCAGGAGTTGGCAGAGCTCCTGCTAACTCTG